AATATGTGTCTGGAACAAAAATCACGAAAAGAGATTAGCGATTAAAATGATTAACAATTTGTAATATAAAATGCGATATTTATCTGTAAGCCGCGTCAATATATAGACGCGGGCTATGACCTGCAAATGGTTTTGACCGCTTTCTACTTGTGTAACATATTTGTTACGTTAAAAATGACAGCTGTATAATATTTCCAAGTAACTACGCATGGTGTTTAACAATACCCAGTTGATTTTAATATTATGAGGCAAAGAATGATTAAATCTTTTCAACGTTTTGTAAAACTTAATCAAAAGTTTAGTTCATGCATTGGTCAACGATTAAATGCTTACATCACTTACTGGTATCATAAACAAGACCATACTATTTTTACTGATACTCATATAACTTATAAAATAATTAAATAAACTTTATATTATTTAACATAACAATTTCATAGTTTATTAAAATCACATTTAATATAGGGATAGCCTATGCCAACTATGACACAATAGTGTCTGTACTGCCATACTGTGTGACCACATATTATTTTGAGTCATAAACTTTGATTAAAATATAATAATGATACGGTTATAAAAAACATGTAAATATATCACAACAACACATTGATATACAGAATATATTATATAATAGTTTAAATGATAAAAACACAATATGTATTGACTTAATATTTATGGATCTCTCAAATGCTTTCGATTGCATACCGTATGATCTCTTACTGAAAAAACTATAAAATAGGAATTATTCGAAAATACTTTGAATTTATAAGAAATGGTTTAATAAATAGGAAACAGTTTATCTCTATAATAATCTGTATTCAATCTTTAACCATATTAACAGTGGCGTTGCTCAGGGTAGTTGTCTGTCACCAATACTGTATAATATTTTTGTATCTGATATGTCAGATGTCCTAAAATGCCAACACTTTCAGTGGGCGGACGATACGGTACTCGTATCTGTAATTACAACTGACATTCAAAAAATGCAAACAAATTTAAACACATTTGAAAAGTATTGTTCAGATAATGGTTTAATACTAAACGAGTCTAAAACTAGACATTTAGCAGTAACCTTAAAAAATCATAATATTGCTAAATATGTAATTAAAGGGAAAACTATTGAAATTATTGATAAACACAAACACTTAGGCATTATTTACGACACAAAACTAACTTTTAATAAACATTGTGATGAAGTATATAAAAATTGTTTTAAAAAATTTAATTTTCTAAAATTTTTATGTAAATCAGCGAATGGTTTAACTTTTTTATTATTGTATAACACATATACTACCATTAATTGAATATTCATATAACTGCTGGACACAAACAAAAACACAAACACTAAAACTTGAAAAAATACAAAAACGTATCACAAAATACATTTGTTATAAAATGGGAAAAACAGATTTAAATTATAACCAAAGACTACAACATTGAAAACTCCAATCATTAGAAAACCGTAGATTAATATCAGCCCTCAAAATAGTACAGAAAGTAAAGTGTAATTCATGTAATATTCCCAATGATTGGATCAATAATTTCATGTTTTACAACACATCAACAAACGGCACATTAATTAAAACTAAATTAATTAGAATTAATTTAATGGAAAAAAACTTTTTTAACTTTTGTATAAAGCTTTATAACTCTTTGTCCATAGATATAAGAAATCAAAATAATTATAACCGATTTGTTAAATCTTTAAATGATTATTACAAATAATTATGTATTACTGTATGACTACATTGTATGATGTATTTCATTGCTTAATGCTAAATATAATAATAATACAATTAATAAATTTTTTCATTATAACTGTATTTCGTTAGACATTAACTAACTGTTTGGGTGTGGTTTGAAACAAACTATTTTACAATACAATGAATTTCATATTATTGTAGTTGTAACAGTAAAATAAAATAAAGTAAAAATACTAAAAATAATAATTATTTATTAGTAAACTTTTTTGATCTGGTATATTTATATTTATGTATATTTATATATTTAATCCAATAAACTCCATATAAAAAATTCAAATTATAAAATAGTTAAATAATTGTAAAGACATATTATAATGCTTTTTTTAAGCTCATAAATATTATGCATAAATTTTAATTAATATAATTTAAGTACAGTAATATATTATTTATTTCAAATACTACGTACACTTTACAGTCAATTAATTGATTTAGCAACAAGATAAAAACAATACAAATACCACTAATGAAGTTACATTCATTTGGAAATATATTTTTCTATTAATGTATCTATTATTGCACCATTTGTTTGAGTATGCATATTAATATTTTTAAATTCAGTTTGTAGCTATATATCATAAAAATTAGTAAAATAATCTTTTAAGTTTATTTTATTTATTTTTTTGCTATATTTTTGTTACTATTCAATTAATTACGGATATCAAGCATATTTTAAAAAGAAACTTATCTAGCAACAATTCAAAATAATATTTAAACAATGACTAACTAATGTCTACAATTATATAACATAATTTACTCTAAAAATAATTTAGTAAAATAATAAAATCTTTTAATTATAAATTAACTTAAAATCTGATCTAGCTCATTTAAGGTTGTACTTAAAGAGAGTTTATTATAAATATATATTTTAAATTATAAATATTATAAATTTACTATATATTTTATTTTATAAATGCTGGATAAAAATAATTAGTTTTTAAAGTTTTTATAAACTGCAACTAAAAATATTAATACTTTTTAAATTCCATAAATACTTTTAGTAAACATTTAATAGTAAGTGTATCCCAAATACAATACTTTACAATCACTTTAATGTGATATTAAATTAAATCATTGAATTGCAAATAACTGCATTTATTTAAAGTGCATTATAATTATGGATTGTATGTCCATTAGGGATATAATTTTATGATCATTTTAATTAACATAAATCAAATAATTACTAAAACTTTTTACTATAATTTACGAGTATATTACACCACATGACTATCCATTACTTAGAATTTAAGTGTAATTTTCTATTATTTTTACGATTAATTCACTTTTGATATGAGACTACTATTTGACACCAAGTCCTAGGATTATATGATTCATGTAAGGAATATTTCAATTTATAAATAAACTTATCTATCAATACTGTAAGTCAGACTATTTCACATAAATACTAACATTAGCCCACAATTATATAACATAACATACTATATATATTACATAATAAACAAAAACCTTAAGTAATTACAAATAGATAAAAGTCTATAAAAATCAGAATACTTTGCCATTAAATGCAAAAACAAAGTAAACAATAAGTACATCAGAGCACTAGTATTTGCACTGATTGTCACTATCAATACGAGTAATGAAATAATTTCTATTAATTGACAATTCATGGGAAAGGTGTCCGAGTTTTTGCCAAATAGATGACTGACCACTCGATTAGTTAAGTCATTGAATTTATTGATGAGTTTAGTTATGTTGACATTTCCTTATGGTATAGCTATCAATAGATACCATGTTTAATCAAATCATGAGAAATGCATTATTTAAATTAAATGAATTTTATTTTTAATTTACAATTAAATTAATCCTGGATATCAAGTCAGAAAACTGAATCATTCATGTGATGAGTATATAATTAACTTATCAAGCTATAATTAAAATTATTTTCCCAAGAACTAATCAGGTATACAAGTAAATAACATTGTTTACTGTATATCACATAATACCGCGTTGTCACTAAACATGGATCCCATTTGGGAGGCTTGGCATTATCAAGCTATAATTAAAATTATTTTCCCAAGAACTAATCAGGTATACAAGTAAATAACATTGTTTACTGTATATCACATAATACCGCGTTGTCACTAAACATGGATCCCATTTGGGAGGCTTGGCATTTGGACACCCTGTATTATTTTTTAAAAATTCCAATATTGTTCTAAGCCATATATTTTTTATTATTAATTCTTTCAAAAATTTGGTATAAATTTGACACTTTTTGCTATAACTCTAAAATTATTAATAAATTGACTAATAATACAGACTGTAATCAATAAATAAAAATTTCATTTGAATAACTAAAGTTTGCTATATTTGACAAATTAATTATTTTATTCAATATAACAATTTATCCCTTAGTCCGTCCGGTGGCCGATTTTTAGGTAAAATCAACTTGAGCATTAATTGTAATTTTATGAAAAACTCCACAAACGAATAATTTCAGGAATGCCTCGTGAAGTTATTTAAGAGTATAAATAATTAATCAGAATCATAATTAACTATGTTATAAATTTTTAATTTAAATTAAACTAAACAAGAAATCAATATTTCACTCATTTATAAAAGGCCTAAATTGCTGATTTCCTATTTGTCATGCGCCAAATTGTACAGTTAATGCTTTCCTATTTTTGGGCCACTGTGCACTTAGTACGCTGGCCCAATTTTTTGGCCACCTTACATGACATGATAAACATAGGTATTATTTGGCCACGGTACACAACTATTAAAAATATAACGGTGCAGAGGGAGGGTTATAATAATATTATTTATTTTGCAAAATATATTTATTAAACTGTAATTTTTTATAATATTAATAAATATTTTAATATCTCAAAATTTCCATATTTTAAATAAAATATTTTATATATTACAGTCTGTATTATTAGTCAAATTATTAATAACTTTTAGAATTATAGCAAAAAAGTGTCAAATTTATACCAAATTTTTGAAAGAATTAATTATAAAAATATATGGCTTATTAAATTATTGGATTGTTGTGTACCAAACAAAAATCTAATTATTCCAGATTCATTTTATGAAAGAATTCCAAAAAAATAATACAGGGTGCCCAAATACCAAGCCTCCCAAATGAGATCCATGTTTAATGACAACGCTGTACTAGTAAACAATATTTCAATGCTATTATAAAATTAATACTCATATAACCTATAAAATATAGTAAATAACCAAGCTTTATACAGTATTAGTAAATGTAACAATAATTTAATACTTTATAAAACAATATAAACATTTAATACAAAGCACATTTCAAATATAATTCATTTAGTTTTAAAACTAAAGATATTTTGTTTTAAAAAAATCAATGAAAAATTTGTTTTCATTTCGATGAATAAGTTTTAGTGTGGAACCATATGTGGGATCATTTTCGAGATAATTTCTATCAATACACCACTCGTTGTATTTGTCTAACACTTGTCGACACGAGGGTCTGAAAGTCGGGTCGTCTCGGTTTAACATCTCTTTTAATACTTGTTTTAATTGAACGACACATTTGTTTAACACTTCATTATCTAATGAATACTTCTGTGAGCTATTCCTGTATTCAAATAAATATAAATTTATATACTAATCAAAGCAATCATAGATTATTTACTCTAATATGTCCTCCAAATCAAAGCCAAATATCTCTTCTGTAGTTATGGCCAGACTGTAGACATCACTCTTCGGGTCATTTGACTCACCCCTACGTACTTCCGGTGCCTCACGAGTCGGGTTACTTGCCTTTGAATTAGATTTGCGAATAGTAGCCAAACCAAAGTCAGCTACTTTGAAATATCTGCCATTCCTTACAGTTTTCGACAGTAATATATTTCCCGTATGAATATCTCTGTGAATGATCGGAGGATTCAATTCATGTAAATATTGAACGCATTCTAAGATCTCTTTGAATATATGACACGAAATGTAAAACTCGATTGAATTCATGGGTTCTCCCGGTTGTCGACCAAATACTTGTCGTTTGTGTTGAAGAATATTCTGTAGACTCTTTGAACACAACTCCATAAGAATGTAAAACACATTGTTTTCATTCCATTGTTCCATATATTGTACACAATATTCTGACCTAACTTTTATTAATCTCTCCACTTCCTTTTCACAATCCTTAGTGTAATTGTCATCTACAAAAGCAATAATATTTAATTCTAGTTTTTGTTAGTGAATGATTTATTTAGTTAACAATTCTATAGCTAAAGGTAGACCGTACACACTTCAATTTATTTTACCTTGAATGTCAATCTTCTTGACCGCATAGCAATTTTTAAGTTTATTCGTAACTTCAAATACTTTACCATAAGATCCGTCACCTATTTGACGCTTTTCATCAAATAAACGCTTGTATTGATCCACGTAATCATCTATTAATAATTACATTAATAAATTAATACAATTGTATTGCATCACATTAAATATGAATTTGTTTACGAATCCATACCATAATTTGAAAAAATTATTACAAAAAACACTTTACTCAAACAATCCAAACATTTGGCAATAAATTCTTGTTTTGTGCTGTAATTATATTCCTTATAATCACACAAATCAATGGTTTTATGAGTCATGTGATCAGTGTGACCAACCGTCCTCTATTATAGAGGACAGTCCTCTATTTAGGGTGTCTGTCCTCTGTGCTTTGAAAGAGAAATAGTGGACATTGAATGTCCTTTATTTGTGAAAATGATAAAATGACTTATTTAGAAAAATAGCTGCATTATAAAACTTCTATTTAAATTGTATTTCACATTATAATCATAATAAAATACATTATCATTTAACTAAATTATGTTTAAGTGCAGCAAATCTGTAGGAAATTATGTAAAAAACTAATGAAAAAATTAAGCAGAAATTTTTCTGCTAGAGAGATTAACAGAAAAAATATTTTCAAAAAATTGTAATTCAAATCCACTATAAAAAACGTTGTCCACTATTCGTCCTCTATTTATTCAATTATTTTATCAAAATGTCCACTAATTACAAAACTTGGGTTGGTCACACTGCATGTGATAGTCATTTGTGAAACAGTCGAAGAAATTTGTATAATTTGTTTCAATTATAGTATCGATTGGTATATTGTGAATATAAAATATTTTCCCATTCATTTCAGCAATAAAATAACCCACGTTATCCATATGGGAGGATATTGAATTCATTTCTGTAAACCTCTTATCAGTATTTAATACTTTTGGTGATTTTTGTATAAAATCCTCGTTGTTTTCATTGCTATATCGATCGCAAAACCTAATGAATCCATCGATTGATAAGAAGTATGTGAGACCACCAGCGGAACAGATAGTCTTAATACCAGTCAAGTCTGCAATGAGTTGTGGTTCCCATATATTATCCGTTGAGTTGTGTCCCAATTGGTACCATTCATTTGGACCCCAACTAAACACCTGTCCCTCAGATGTGATAGCAAATGAACAGCAATCACCGCAATAAATGCTTTTAATTTTGTGATTAGAATTGAAATTAATTTTAAATGGAACTGGCATTTCACACATTTCTTTATTTTCAAAATTGTGTCCACTGCCTATCTGTCCGTACCTATTATCTCCCCATCCATAGACACAGCCATCACTCGTTAGAACTAATGAGTTTTGAAAACCACAACTTATTTCACAAATAGTCTTATAATCACTAAACTCGAGGTCAATAAGTTCTGGTTCAACATATGGGTCATCCTTAATAAAAGCACACAATGTGCCCAACTGTCCCCTAGCATTACGACCCCAACTATAGAGACAATTATCATGAGTGAGGGCTAACACAAAGTTATATCCATTGAAGAATTGTTTGATATTCTTGTAACACAATTCTCCTATAATTTGTGGTGACTTGACGACAACATTGTGTCCCAATTCAAGAGATCCGAAAGAATTAGATCCCAAGCCGTAAACCATGTCATCATTTGTAATCAATAATATATTATATCCTCTTTTGTCGCTGAAGACATGAAACAATTTAATGTAATAATTTAAGAGAGTTTCTATATTTCCACTAAGTTTTGCCATCAAAACTTGTATTTCTTTGTCTTCATCATTGGACACGTGTTCTTCCATAGGCTTCACATCACTTGTATGTATGGATCGGCTATTACTGGACTCCCCTTCCAATGCGTTCAACATATTTGTCACATTCTGTTGATTCATATTTGACACACAATTAGCAAATGACTTAATTATTAACTATTATTTCATTAAATATTAACTATAATTAACAAACAGACTTTGGGTGTGGTTTTAAACATACGTTATTGTAATGCCTGTTGTCATAATATTTATTAAATTATTATATTAGACACATAATTTTTATTAGACATAAATGGTTAGATATCATAAACAATATAATGAATTTCATAGTAATATAGTAATAACAGAGCAAACATAATATAAAAATAAATGAACAAGTAAATTCTGAAAATTCTAACATATTACTATATTAACTATTGTTACGAATATAGCGATGTTTTGTAATAATAATCATCTTAATATACTCACTAGTCATTTTACTGTATTAATATAAACATGTTTAATTTAAACTTTATAAAATTTAAAAATTAATGTGAATTATTTCAGACACTGTTTAATATAAATTGCAACTTTATAATTTATTTAATTATGATAAATTTCATTACATGGGTTGCAATGAGTTATTGCCAATGACATACATGGATAACGTTACCTTGGTATTTCTATTTGGGATATATTTTTACTTTAGGTCTATAAAATGTTTTTTTAGTTTTCATATAATAAGTGAATTATTTAAGTTTCATAAGTTTTCAGATATAATAAGCTATTTTGCAATTTATACCTGCAATATATTTATAAAAGGTTAAAACACAAAAATAAAAGTAATAAGGCCATAAATTACCTTGATTGAGCCAAAAATTTATTGCCATACCTGTCCAAAATAGTTGTCATTATAAACACAACTTATAACTTTTGACAAAACTACTGATAATAGAAGAAAATAAATAACAAATTAATAAAAATAACAATAATTTTCTCATAAAATAAAAGTAATTCATTTGCTATTGTCTTAAAACACAACACTTTTTACTAAATAATAATTTCAAAATATACTATAAATCATAATATACTTATATATTTATAAATAGTAATTTCAATAAACATATTAGACATAATCTGTATAATCAAGTTAATTTTTATCAAATACATATCTCATTATTATAAATTTAAAATAAAATATTTAATATAAAATATCTATACATTATAATTAAATAAAAAGTTCAAAACTTTTTTGTCAATTTAATAGGAAATAAATACTGAAATAAATATTGTTTTTGATAAGAATTATAGCAACCATTCAAACACTGAAACAAATAAACTTATCTAGCAACAATTCAAAATAATATTTAAACAATGTCAAACTATAGTCTACAATTATATAACATAATTTACTCTAAAAATAATTTAGTAAAATAATAAAATTTTTAATTATAACTTAATTTATAAATCTGATCTAGCTCATTTAAGGTTGTACATAGAGTTTATTATAAATAAATTTACTATATATTTTATTTTATAAATGCTAAACTGGATAAAAATAATTAGTTTTTAAATTTTTTATAAACTGTAACTACAAATTTTAATACTTTTAAAATCCCATAAATACTTTTAAATACATTTACTATAATATTATGTGACTCTATCGATGGTTTCATAATCAAATTATATTTTTATGACTTTTACTTTTAAATCACTATTATAATTAAATTAATTTTTAATTTCAAACAATATTTTAAATTGTATCAAGCATATGATTAGTTGTGTATTAATATATCATTTTAAAAATAAACTTTTTACTAATTACCAAATTTGTTAATATAAATATAAATGTTAAGGTATGTAATATTTTTTATATTTATAAAAAATAATTTTAATACACATATTCGACATTGTAGTTTAGTTATTAATAACTTATTATCTTTAATTTAGTCTATACAAAAAAAACTGGTTTATTATATTTACAAACTAAAACTATACTTAATATTAGAAAATAGCCATAAATTATTGTATAACCATACTTTTTGACAATTAAATAGGGTATAGGCATCATATTAAATATGACTATTATTAGTTCCCTCACCAGGGAATATAATTTTTATTTTTCTCAGTATGGCATGCTAGTCAACACAACAAATCTATAATGTGAATTGAAAAAGTTTGAAATATCTAGTCTAGATGAATTATTAAAATATTTAGATAATTTGGTATCTGGTATATTTTATTGATAAAAGATTTTTTATTATTTGTTTTAAAAATGTGTTTATAGACATGTAGAGTTTGAAGCTCAATATTTAAAAATTATACTAACGAGTAAGCAGATTTAGATTATCGAAACTTCTTTTAGTACCAAAATTTCTTTCAAATTAATGATAAATAAGATAAGAGTTAATCACATGATTTCTGATTCAAGTTTGTCAGTTATATATTGTGCAAAAAACTTGTATTCATTTTGTTGAATGAGATTTAGTATGGAATCAAATGTGGGATCAATTATGAGATAATTCTCATGAATAGACCATAAGTTATATTCCGATAATACTTGTGAACACTCGGGTCGAGTGCTATGAATGGGAACACACATCGAGTCTATGATTTGATCCAATTTAATGAATTTGTCGTATATTTCATATCCCGAGTAAATACTCAAATCCGGGGAACTGTAATAGAGATAATTAAACAATTAGTAAATTATTTCAATAAACTAAGAATCAAAATAATAACTTGAAATCATTTAAATTAAACAATTTGTGTGCAATGATTGCCAGGCTATAAATGTCGGCTTTCGGTGTATATTTAGTTTGCAATTTAACTTCCGGTGCCATGTATTGACTAGTTCCAACTCCTTTTGCGTGATTTCCAGTTGACTTGGAGTGAAATGACGCCAACCCAAAGTCAGCTACTTTTAAATACCTCCCATTCCTTACAGTCTTCGCCACTAATATATTATCGGGTTTGAGGTCTCTGTGAATGATCTGTGGATTCAATTCATGTAAATATTGAACGCATTCTAAGATCTCTTTGAATATATGACACGAAATGTAAAACTCGATTGAATTCATGGGTTCTCCCGGTTGTCGACCAAATACTTGTGGTTTGTGTTGAAGAATATTCTGCAGACTATGGGAACACAACTCCATACGAATGTAATATACATTTGATTCGTGCCATTTTTCTAAATATTGGACACAGTATTCTGATCTAACTTTTATTAATTTCTCCACTTCATTGTCACATTCTTTTAAATTTCTGTCAGCTATAAAAATAATATTTAATTCTACTGTATTGTTAAAGGTAATTTGGTTAATTATTTACTTTCCCTTTTATATTTACATTATATTGATTAGGGGTCATTCATAAAGTACGTACGCAAAAATTAGGCCAAAAATTGACCCCCCTCACTCTTAGTTGCACATCGTACGCATATCAAGACCCCTCCCCTCAAGAGTACATACGCTTCGTTTCCACACACACACACACACCCCCTCCCCAATAATGAAACAATATTTCAAATAAATTATTTATTATACTGTTGCCGTCTAACTTCTGGATATGTGTCGTGTAGTCTTTGACCCGTTAAGTCCCGGTGTTATGGGTTAATGTGGGTTTAGGTGTGGTTTGGTTTGGAGGTACTCACGAGCATTGGACAGAGTCACTGGACTCGTTCCGGGGTACTTGGACCCGACTGCGAGAGTACGGACAGGAATGTGAGGGACAGGTTGGGAACGGGACGACTGGTGGCCAGAGACTGAACTGTTGATGTGTTGGTCTCGCACTCTTACGGCTGATGTGTTAGGATGAGTGACACATAACAGACATACTTTTCACACTATACGATGAGTTTTATTATAGGTTTATTTGGTGAACAGTATACTAATACAAAAAGTACTAACACTATTGAGTGTTGCGTATCGGCTGATTCTGAGCGCAAGTTTTACACAAAATATATATGAAAAGCATTTTAACATAAATTCAGAGGGAATGGCATACAATCACATAAGAGCTGAGGGCATATTTGTTATGAAAATGTTAAGCAATTTCGACGTAAAGTCAGTTTCGAATGATATCAAAACTGAGACATAACTTTGACTAAAACTAAAACATTTGCATTGAGTCCCATGTAAAGCGTTTTCAATGTTTTGCTTACAATTACATAAATATTTGAGAAAAGGGTGCGAAAAAGGGTCCAAAAGTTATAGCATAGGATATGAAAGCTATTAGCTGAATACTAGTATAAGATTACATAAAAATAGTTTTTAAATGTTTGCAAAGTTTTACAAAATGTTTGGTTTTGCAAACGTTCTGCAATATTGGCATCAATACCATTCATTAAAATCATTGATAATATAGATATCTGAACAAGAAGTATGCCTAGTATGTTTGACAGTGCAGTAGAAATACTTTTAAAAAGTCTTCATATGAAGGCTTAATTGAAGACATTTTTGAACAAAATTATTGAATAAATTAATACAAAATAATGAATGCTTTCAATATA